ATTTACGGGGTGGGGTGGGGTGGTGTCTTGCACACTGTCGGCCTCCAGAGTGGCCCTGTTCTCTATCCACTAGCAGCCCACCCACGTTCCCAACCATCCACAACAACTCTAGACGTTTCCAAGGGTCTACTGCAAGGGGACGGGGGTGGGGGGCAAAGTTGCTCTTGGCTGAGCCTCCGACCTATAGTAATGCTTTGTGCCTGGAAGTCTCTTTCGTCTGATGTTAGTGAGGCCGTAGTCTGTTGGTATTTGCAATGGAAAACCGTTGCTGTCACCATTCAATCTCCTTCATTCAAGGTGTGTCGTATACCTGGAAGGGTCACCCTCTTCCCAAGCCAGACTGACAACCTCTTCATTGTAGTTGGAATATTTGCTCGTTTTTCCTTTAAAGCGATCACCATGCGCCTGGCTCTCCCCCCGCCAGGTGACCACACAGCTCACGTGAATCCACTGGTCTCTGCTCGCTCTGCTCCCGCCTGTTAGGGTTACGTGTCAGTTACTTGTTTGTTGTCCGCCACGAGCTGAGCGTCCTTTTATTTTCGTCTTCGTTGTAATCCCAGAGCTGACCTGCACCGGCCACCTGTTCAAGTGAGCATGTTGACTCTTCTGTCGTGCTCCGTGTTACCTGAGGATGCTCCATCTTTCAGCTCCACTTACTAAGTCTCACTTTTGGTGAATTTTTATTTCTCCATAACTATAACCCAAATAATTCATCATGACCTGACCCCACACAGCCAGCACAGTCGCACCCACTCGCGGTGGTTTCCCGCTGCTCTTCGTCCCTTCCTGCGCCCGGAGCGCCTGCCCCGGAGCTCTCTGCCCGCTGAGCTCCCGGCTCCGTGTGCCTGGCACGTCCTGTCTCTTCTTTCGGAAAGACGGTTTGCTTAGTTTGGAATTTGGGGTGCCAACGAGTTTCTTTCTGTTGGGAAGTCAGCTGTCCGGCAGCCTTCTTGTGCACCTGGCCAGATAACGTGGGCCTTTGCCTCGGCTCCGTGGGCGTCAGTCATTCTGCTGCAATGCTCGGGGCGTGAGCTTCTCTGATCATGATTGACATTCAAAGCAGTTCACTCTGCGGCTTGACAGCTTTCAGGAGTTTTAGAAAATTCGCGGTCCGCCCTGTTTCAGGTCTCTCTTCCCTCACCGTCGCCATCGCCGTCCAGGCGGGTCTTCGCCTTGTCCCCGCGTCTCACAGAGAGAGGCGCGCGCTGGCCTCCGGGAGCGCGGGGCTGGCGTTTCTTCCCTTCCCCTCCCTGGGCTGCAGCCTGGGTACTTTTCCTTCTGTCCCGTCTTCCAGATCACTGTTTTCTAGCGGTATCTGATCTGCTACTGAACCCCGCGTCAGTTAGCTGCTGCGACACAGCAGCCCACCCCAAAGTTTGGGGGCTTAGAACAGCCGCCACCGCTCCCTTGCCCGATTCTGCGACCCGGCGCTGCCACACCCAGGGGCTGACAACCAAGGTGGCCCCACCCACGTGCCCGGCACCTCAACCAGGGAGACCGGGAAAGCTGGGGACTGCCGGGGCGACCCTCCCTTCTTCCCCCTCACAGCCTCGGACTCTGCGGGCCCCACTCTCCCCGCAGCAGTCCCCCTCCAGCCCGCGGGCATCTGCGGTCCTTCACCTGCTTGCTCGTGCCCAGGAGGGGCGCGCAGGTGCTGCCTTGGTAACGCCCCTCCAAGCGCCAGCCGAGCGTCCCCCCCCCGCCCCCGCGCCCCCAGCCTTCTCCCGGGGTGGCCCTGCGGAGGCCTGGAGTTGGACGCTCCAGCCTGCGGGGCTCGCACAGCGCCGTCCAGGCAGGCCCGGCTCCGGCTTCCACGCTCCGGCCCGCGCCTTGGCGGGCGGACGGATGGCGATGGCGGGCGAGCGAGGGTGGTGGCTGCGGAACGGCGTCCCCCCCGCAGCACAGACGCGGTCACCGGACCAGCGCGCACAGAAACAGTGGCCAGGTTTCCACGAGAGGGCGCGTCTGGGGGACAGGATTGAAGGCAGGTGTAGTTTTATTGGGAAGGGGTCAAGGCACGATGGGAAGGTGAAAACAGGACAAGATCAATGGAATGTGTGGGTGTGTGAGTGGGGGGCCCAGAGGCCAGGGAGTTGGGGGCAGGGAGGGGCAGGGGTGCGAAGCCAAACGCAGTCAAGGGAGCGAGAGCCCCCCCACCCCAGCGGAGTTCCTTCCGCTTCAGAGATAAGACCAATGTGTGGATTTGACACAGCAAATCCACCAGCTCCTGGGCCTGTTGAATAAACTAAAATACATCAGACTCTTTCGCGGACCCAGTGGAGTCTGGGGGTTACTATCATCCACTGGCTATCTGAGCAGAGCCGTCCTGGGGTCCTCAGGGCCATCCGCCCGTCTGAGAGCCGCAGGCAGGCCCCACCTGCTGCAGAGCGGAGGGCATCTCCCCTGGACTCGAGGCCCCTCCCGACCAGCACACGGGGCGCCCGAGGGCAGCTCCCACTCGGCAGGAGAGCAGGAGGGGCCGGCTCCCCGGCACACCTGAAAGCAAGGCCTCCCGTGGCCGGCGACCGGCCAGGCGCCTCTCATTCCCATTCAAATGTCCCCGATGTTTAAGTCAAATGACCACACAGGAAGCCCCTCCCTTCCTGCTCTTGGGCTGACCCCCTCGGCCGTTCACTTCCTGCCGCCACCGTTGCCGCTCTCCCGGCTCAGGCCGCTGCTCTGGGCCCTTTCCGGGCGTGCTGCGTGGAGCCGCCCCCGCGTGGCGTGCACCTGCTGGAAGGCATCCTGGGCCTGGCACGACAGCAGGCCAGTGGGGCGGCCTCCGGCACAGGCCTGAGGCTGGGTGCACCTCAAGTCAGCTGCCTGCGAGGAGCCGGCCTCCGCCCAGGAACGACCCAGGAGCCAGTAAACCTATCCCACAGGCACTGGCCTGTCCTCATCGCAGGGCGCCGGGGAGGGGGCGCGCCCAGCACAGCACAGCAGGCCCTCAGGGCAAAGCCACCCGACCAGAAGCTCCATCAGGAGGTCGCCCTTCGATGTGACCGTTCTGTCCCAGAGACCAGACCCGCCACGCGCCCCGGCCCGGTGTCCCTCGGATGCTCCCTGGGCTTGCAGCCACCTCGGCAATAGGCTCTGCTGCTCGGGTTAACAGCGGTCCCTGTGCTTCTCGTGGCCAGGCGGAGGGCGGGCTCCTGGCTCGCTCCGGGCCGTTTAGGGGCCGTGGCCTCCGCAGAAAGGCCTTCCCTCCTGCTTTGGCTCCCGTCGCCACCCGTGGCCCGCCTGGCCCTTGGCCGGGCTCCACGCCGCCCTCCTCTCTTCACTCTCCCCGGTCCAGGAACCTCCCGCACGCCCAGGGCCTCACAGCTCCCCTCTAAGTGGGCTACGCAAAACTAACCCGGAGGCTGGGCTGGAAACCAGGGGATGGTTTTTGATCTTCCTCCTTCCCACCCTCTTGTGCCGGTGAGTCAGCGAGTCTCGGCCATGCCAGCTCCCTCCTGGAGAGCCCGCTGCTGAGCACCTGGCTCCAAACTCCCCTCAAATCCACTCCACCCGAGGAGTGACCGGTCTAAACCCGCGCCCTGCTTGAGGCCCCCCACGGCTCCCAACCTGCCCCTCTTGCCCTCTCTCTCGGCCCGACCCATGCCTACAGGAGGCCAGCCAGCAGCGTGGCCCTGGCTCTGGGTTTGGCAGAGGACACACGGCCCACTGTGCGGCTTGCGAGCAGGACACACGGACACTGTGGCGGGCCTGGCAGCCGGAGACACTCTGGGAGACGGCCAGGGACCAATGTCCGTGTTCAGGTTAAATCCTAAGACCCAGGGATTCCGAGAGGGCCTCGGGCGCCACTAGGTCGCAGGGTGCAGTCCCGCCAACCCCCACGCCAAGGACACTGCAAACCCTGTCCTCGGTGTCCAGGAAGCAGGGCCTCTCCAGGCAGAACGGCCCCACACGCCTCCAGCCACGGGGTTCAGCTGTTGAGAAGGTAACGCCGTGGCTTGTACATCACCCGTCTGGGGCACATTGTAGCTGCCCAAAGGGGCCGTGACAGCCGCAGCAAGGACCCGGGCCAGTCTTCTGTGGCGAGACGGAGCATGAGGGGCCTGCAGCCTGCTGCGGAGACGGAAGAAGCTGAGAAAGAAGATCAGAGACGCCGGTGGCGGGGCCGGCCTCAGGAGGTGGGTGATGCCCGTCCACAGTGCGGTGAGAGGGAGTCCAAGCCCCCCAGCCCGGCGCCGGCAGCCTGCACCAGGGAACAAGAGCCCAGCCAAGCACACGCTGGCACAGCACGCAGGCCACGCACACATGCACACACGTGCACACGCATGCACACACGCCGCCCGCGCCATCCACACCCACGCGTCCATGCTCTGCCACACCATCGTGCACGCCTGCACACCCATGCACACGCACGTGCTACAGGGCAAGAGGAAGGCGGCTTCGCGAGACGGGCAGCTGCGGCACAGGGAGCTCCTCGGGGGACGGGGCTCCGGCCGCAGAACTGGCCCGGGCGGGCCGAGGGCCGCGCGCAAAGGCTCCGGGCCCCGCCGGCCTCTCCTCCGCGGCCGGCGAGGGCGGGCGCCCCGGGCACCCCGGGCCCGAGCGGGCGGCTCCCCACGCCGCGGTCCCGGGCCCGAGTTCGAGTCCCGCCGGGGCCGGCGCGCGGGGTCGGGGCGGCCGGAGGCGATTGGCTGGGCCGCGGCGCCGCCGGCCGAGAACAAAGGGGCGCGGCGAGGGGCGCCCCCGCGGGCCGGCGCGGCTGCGGGGGCCGGGCCGGGCGGGGCGCGCCCGCGGTGGTTGCGGCGCCGCCGCGAGGAGTCGCGAGGCGCGAGGCCCGCGCCGGGACCGCCCACAGCGGCGGGGCCTGCGGCCGGCGGCGCCCCGAGAGCGCGCGCGGACCCCGCGCGGGGCGAGCCGAGCGCCCCCTCCCCGCGGCCGGCCGGGGCGGGCCGGCCGCGCCCCCCGCCCCCCGCCCCCCGCCCACCGCCGCCCGCGCCCCGCGTCGAGCAGCGCCGGCCAGGCCCGCGGCTCCGGCTCGCGTCCGGCCGGCCGGGCGGCATGGCGCGCCCGCGGCCCCGCGAGTACAAGGCGGGCGACCTGGTCTTCGCCAAGATGAAGGGCTACCCGCACTGGCCGGCCCGGGTGAGTGGCCGCGCCGCCCCTCCATGATGGCGCGGCCCGCGCCGCCCGCCGCCTCCAGGGCCGCGGGCCGGGGTGGGGGCGCGGGCCGGGCCAGCGGCCGGAGGCGCGGAGGCGCGGGGCGGGGCGCGGGGCCGGGGCGCCCTGAGGCCGGCGGGCCGGTGCCCGCGCGCAGGGGCCGGGCCGAGGGGCCGGGGCGGGGCGGGGCGCGGGGCCGGGGCGCGGGGCCGAGGGGCCGGGGCGGGGCGCGGGGCCGGGGCGCGGGGCCGAGGGGCGCGGGGCCGGGGCGCGGGGCGCGGGGCCGGGGCCGGGGCGCGGGGCCTGGGGGGGCGGCTCCTGCGGGCCGAGCGGCCTGGGGCCCAGCGGCCGGCGGGGCGGGGCCGGGCTGCGCGGGGCGCGCGCTGGGCAGGAGCTGGGCGCCCGCCCCGAGCCTCCGCCTCGGCCTCCGCCCCGGGCGCGGCCGGCGAGGGACTTGTTGAGCCCCCGGCCCCCCCGGGCCACCATGGCGCGCGGGCGGCGGCGAGCAGGGCCGGGCCGGGCCGGGCCGGGCCGGGCCTCGAGCGCCTTTTGTCCCGGCGCGGCGGGCGGGCGGCTCAGGCCCAGGCAAGGCCCGGGCGCCCCGGCGGGCAGGGCGGGCGCCGCCGGGCCCGGGATCCCCGCGGGAGAGGAAGTGACATCATGCGGCGGCGGCCGCGGCGGCGCGCGGCCCTGGACGCTGCTCCGGCCCTGGACGCTGCTCCCGCGGGCGCTCGGAGGAGCCGGGGCCGCGGCGGGGCGGGAGCTCCCGTCCTGCAACCGGAGGCCCGGCCGCCAGCTCCCCGCGCCCGCAGATCTGGGGGAACCCTTGCGCGGGCCCCACCCGGCTGGGCAACTTTTCTGCCGGCCTCGGGCGTCCCCGGGAGACCGGCCGGGCTGCACCGGGCCTCGGCCGCACGGGCTCGCGGGGCCTCTGGCGGCCTTAGGGGGCCTTGGGGGGCCTTGGCGGCTGGGACTGAGCACACAAGGCCGGGGCGCTGGGGCCGCAGCGTCAGAGGTGAATTCGAGACTGTCCAGGCCAGCGGCAGCTTCCTCGTGGCACGCGGCCCGCGTTGGCCTCCCCTTGAAATACACCTGCTGAGAATCACGGACACCGACGCGAAACTCTGTGCATGATCCTGGCACAGCTTGGCGGCCTGTGCAGCCACGCGCTGGACAGGGTCCTGGCTGGACAGGGTCCTGGCTGGGCATCTGATTTTGCAGTAAACCCCTAGACTTTGAATTCCACTCCAAGGCAACATAATAACAAAATGAGGAAATGAAGTATGTTAGGTGCTTGGAGGAGACACAGAAGAGGAGGGAAAGGAATCCAGGGCCCCAGGAAAGGGCTTCCTTGCCGGGCACACACCTCACCCTCACCGCCCCGCAGCCACCCCTTCGGCACCCAGGAGCGGCCAGGTCTGGGGCCTGGTGTGCGGGGCCTGGTGTTCGGCTCTGCGCTGACCGCCACGTGTCTACCCTTGTTTTTACCCTAGTCCTGGACGTGGGCCCCGCGTCACACCTGGCTGCCGCGTGTCCACACAAAACGCCGACTGGGAAAAGACCAGATGTCGGTCCCACTTGATGGGAAGGGATCGGGTTCTGTGGCCCTGGACCCCAGGCAGGAGGAGGGAGAAGGGGGCCTTCAGGCGGGCAGTGGGGCCTCTCAGAGGGCCCTGCCGGGTGGAGAACCCCTTCCCTGCTGGAGAGGGGTGGCGCGAGGCCCCGCGGCTGGCCAGGGGCGGTGGGCCTGGGCCTTGGCCTCCCTCCCCAGCCTCGGGCTCTTCTGCGATCTTCCTGAGTGTCTGTGGACTGTCCCTAGCGGAGCTTCTCCTCCTTCCCCCCAGACTTAGCGCCGATGGAGCTCTGCTGCTCCCCCCTTCTCTCCTTTTGAATTTCTAACTCCTTCTCTGTAGCCCTGCACTATTTTTAATTTTTAACTCTTGGACAAATTGGTTAATTTTCCCAACATTTTATCGTGAAGAATTTCAAATAGACAAGGACTGAGCCTCGGCTCTGGCGCGTACCCCACTGGAGCCTGGGGTTTCTGTGCATCCGTTCACCCCCTTGGCGGTCAAGTGTGACTAGACCTCACGTGTAGCCCCGGGCGTGTGTGACCTCCGCCCTCGTGCAGCCCACACCCAGGACGAGGCCCAGCCGTCGCCCACGGCCCTCACACCCCCCAGGACTCTGCGCCCCTCACCCCCAGCCCTGCTAGTGGCAAGAGCTGCTGGCTGCTTCTGCTGGGTTATTGCATCAGCTCGAAAAACTAGAAGAAAAACTAGAGGCTCCGGAGTCCTTGAGGACAAGAAAGAGCGACACTTGCAATGGGTCTCGAGGCCCTGCTGGGGAGCACGTCCGCCCACACCCCCACTAAGAGCAAATGTGCTGTAAAATCCTAGAGAAGTGTGCTTTGCACACACGTAACAGAATGAATGTAAAAGTAAACTAAAAGGCAAACGTGACATAAAATTTTGTTTTTAAAAATTCTTAATGGCAAAACATCAACTGTGATACGTTAAGTCCATACTTTAAAAGTATTCATTTGGGGAACATTTTTGCCTGATTCTAGTGAAATCTGACCAGATAGTCACAGTTTTCATCTTCAGAAACTTTCTAGAATGAGCTACCGGCCGGGCGGTCTGCTGGCGTTTGCTCACTGGTCACAGGTCTTGGGGGCACTTGCTTGGTCACCAGTCGGGGTGCCTGGCAGGGCCAGCCGTGGCCCTCTGGACCCGGCAGCACGACACTGCAGGTCACAGCCCCCAGAGAGGGAGCAGCCACCGCGAAAGGGCTCAGCCTCAACCCACGTGTCAGACATCAGCAAGATCTGCTTCTTAAGTGAAAGGGTAAGGAATGGAACAGCAGCGTTCCTGCTTTCTTCTCACCCTTCAAATTCATCTTCTGTGCCCCCCAAGATGTGAGCCCCCAAGGTTTCTTAGCCCTGCCCCCCAAAATCATAAAGACAGTCAAGAACACAAAGTGTCTAAAAACGCTTGTGTTTAAACTGAAGAACATTTTTAATTCTAAAACTTGACGTGAGGACCCTCAGATGCTGGCTGTCATTGATAAATCCTTCAGCCTGAGCTGCTCTGCGTGGAGCGAAAGAAATGCCCGCTTGTGGCTCAGCAGCATGGCCTGGGCACCCCGACGATGAGCTTGTGTTCGCTGGAAGACCTGGACCAGGTGCCCACACATAGCAGCTTTGTCCGTCAAAGCAGAGCACAGAGGTCAGCCAGGGTGTCCTGCCCGGGAGGCCACATACACACGTGCTTGGGCCTGGAGTACCACTCAGTGGTGAAAAGGGCGCACTGCTGACATCCACAAAAGCGGGGTGAATCTCAGAAATGTAGGGCGAGAGCCCTGACAGGGGCCTCCTGTGCCCGTCATGTGATGCTCTGGACAGAGCAGGATTGGTGGCCAGTGTGTGGTCGGGAGGGCCTCAGGGCCTAGCTGAGACCGGGCCTCCTTCTCTTGTGCTGGGATGGCTTTGTGGGTGTGTCTGTTTCTGAGGAAACAGACCTCACATGTGAGATCTGTGCTGTGCGTGTGCGGGTTGTGCCTGGCGTGGCATGCGCTGTGCATGAGGCGGGAGGAATGGTCCAGCTCCACACTCTCAGTCTGCAAGAGAACGCTCCTTCCTCAAAGGCTGTGGTCCCACACGCAGCCTCTTCTGTCCACGGTGATGGTTCTGGAAGCTTCATTTACACTCGCGCCTCCTTCAGCTTCTTTTCAGGTCTGGTCCCTGCCTTCATCTTGTCTGTTAACGCTGCTGGTCTTGGTGCCCTCCGCACTGCCCTGTTGCTGGCGTCCGCGACCTCGTCCTCAGGTGTCTCATGGGGTAAAGGGTGAGCGTGCAGAGGCCACCTCGTCCTCAACAGCTCGGGGGCCCGGACGCTGCCCCGCAGCTGCCGTGTCAGGTGCTGGGTCAAGTTCCTCGCGCTTCCCTCAACAGTTTGAAAACCGTGATTACAACTAGAGAGTGTTTTGCGTCCTCTGTTAGTGTAAGTGCTGCTGCCCTGAGCCCGGTCCTTGGCACTTCCGGTCTCTCTGGCTTGACGGGGAGCTGCCAGGCGACGGGCCTGTTTGTGGAGGCCCAGCTGTGTGGTGTCAGGGCGTCACTTGAGGAGCGGCGCAGAGTGAGATGTCCACGCTCTTGGTTCCTCTGGCCGGTTCACTCGGGCCCAGACCCTCAGCCTTTCCCGGGGCTCCGTCGCTGCTGCACGGGAAGCCGCGGCCTGGCCTCTTCCCTGGCCGGGGCTCCTGCGCGCTCGGCTCCCCGCAGCTCTGGCTGTGGCGCTGGCTGGCCGTGTGAGTGGGGCCCTGACGTTCCCTCCTGCAAGTCCCAGGTGACGTCCCTCCCTGGCCCACACTCCCGGCTGGATTCTGCCCACGGGCACTGCTCCACCCGGCCTGGGCTCCCCTGAGCCCAGGGCGTCCAGTCTCACACGGGGGGCGGAGGAGAAGGCAGGTCTCCTTTCTCTGTCTCTGCGCCGGGGACGGCGGCCGTTGCAGGGCACCACGGGGCTCGGGACGCCCCAGTCAGCACACCCTGGACGGGCTGCAGCCGCCTCCCTCTGGCTCGCCTGTGTCCTGCGATGGGAGCAACTAGGCCCCTCCAGCTCTCTGCCACCCAGCAGCTCCTCTTAGGCCGCAGCTGCCATTCTCTAGAGGAGTCTCCCACCTGCCTCAGGCCCAGCTCCCTCCAGCCATCCCTTGGCTGCCGCAAATTCAGGGTCGAGGCCAACCCAGCGCCCTCCACCCCAGGGGGCCGGTCCCCAACGAGAGGACGCGCGTCTCCCTGTCTGAGGGGTTGCCCGGGGACGTCAGGGTGGCCTCACGGGTGGGGGCCTGCGAGGCAGGCAGGGTGACTGCCGGGAGGGGCCCCAAGTCCCGTCCCTTCCCATCCTCGCCCCCCTCCCCTCCGGCGGGCCCAGCCTTGCGGAATGTTGGTTGCCCACTGAGGAGCCAGGCCTGGGGGCGGGGTCGGCTGTGGCCCTGGGAAGGGCATGCGGGACACCCACCCAGGAGGACCCCGCACGCTTCTTGAGAGAAAAACAGTGGCGTTGAGTTAATTGTGTTAATTTTGATTGTATTGGTGTCGTTTTACGTCTCCTTCAGTATAAATTCATCCTGGTTTTCTGGTGTGCGGCTCAGATACTGTTATTATAGCTGCATATTTCAGAACATACGATAACATTTTATGACAGCTGGGCGTCTGCAGGATTTTGTTCCCTTTAAAAAATGATTAAGATGTTGCTTTTAAGAGACCTTAACAAACTGGAAGGAATTCTCGGCAGAGGCGAATCTGGAAACGAAGGGCAGGAGGAGGTTCTCAGATTGAACGGGGAGTGTTTACTAGAGTGAAATGTGGTTCTTAATTATTCTTAGATTCATTTCTGGCCTTACACTGTGCTGTTTACCAGGCGTTTCCTGGGTACCTTATCTTCTGCTTCCCATAGCATTTTGGGGTCGGTGTCACTGAGCGGGACTCACCCCGGGTGAAGTGCAGAGGGCTCCTCGGGGGGTCAGATGCCCGGACTGTTTGGAGGCTGCGGAAGTGGGCTCGAGGCTGGAAGCCAGAAGGGCCTCACCTCGGGCCACCGCAGCAGGGCCAGACTGCCACACGCACCGCCCCTCTGGAGACCTGGAGCCGGGTCAGCGCACCTGCAGCCGGACACGCAGCAGTGGTCCAACTCCTCGGGGTGCATGTCCACCCGCAGCCACAGAGGCGCCCTCTGGGATGGGACGGAAGACACCCCAGTGCTCTCCTGGCGAGAGCTCCCCCACATCCGTCTTTCACCCAGTCCCCTGGAACAGACCTTTCCCGTGGGCACCACCCCGCTACCCTAGCCTCAGGCCATGTCAGCACCTGCCTCAGGACTCTGAGAGTGGCCGGCACCAGGGCTCGGGGCCTGCCCCCTCCAGGTGCTGCAGTGTCAGGGCTTCCCAGCCGAGCCCCGGAATAGGCTGAGACCCACGACGTGTCTTCCCCTAACTCCAGCCTGACCTGCAGCCCACTTGGGCCTCCCCCACCCCGGTTCCCTCTCGTCAGCCAGAGCTGACGCCCACAGGGTTCACGGCCACTCGGTGAGCCCGGCGGGCAGCCTGAGCACCCCAGGGCGCCTGCAGAGCGGGGGCGCCGCTTGCTGACAAGCTCACCCTGACCTCGCTGTCAGTCTTCGTCCTGCTCCTTCCTCGGAGGCCTGCCCTGGTCGCGGGCCTCGGTCCCTGCAGAGAGACGGGGCCTGACAGAGGGAGCCAGGCAGGGCAGCAGAGAATGGGATGGGGCCCGGCCGAGGGGCCCCACCTGCCGCGGGCCCAGCTCACCCGGGCGTCCCTGCGGAAACCCTGCTGTCCTGCGCAGGAAGGCGAGTCCATTGCAGAAACCCAGGGAGCCAGTGGCCACCTTGTCTCGAGCTTTAGCAGGCCAGACGGCGCGTGTGGCGGGAGCCGCATCGCCTGTGGGGGAGGGAGGTCGGGCCGGCGGAGACTTCCGGGGCCGTGCAGGCATGGTCTGCTGCGGCGTGGGGTACGGGGGAGCAGCACTCACATGCTGTCGTGAAGCGCACGTCCCCGCGGGGATGTTCCTCAGCAAGGGCGGTGCCAACCCCGCGGGCAGGAGCGTCTGTGCCTGCTCAGAACCCCCGCGGGAGCCAAACAAGCCACGGCTTCGGCCAGCAGGCCCGGGCCATCCCGCGGCCCCTGCAGCAGGCCAAGGGCACTTTTAGCCAAAAGCTGTCTTTGTTTGAAAGAGAAGCTCCCGGCCATTTTTTAAGTCTTCCGCTGTCGGGTTTCTCGCGAGGGAAAGCACAGGCCCTGGCGGCCCCGTCAGCACGGCTCACGCCTGTCACCGCGCGGCCGTGGGTCCGCGGAGCCCTCTGCTGTCCCCTGGAGATACATGCCCGACCATCTCCGCCGACGTGCCCGCTGCAGCGCGGCTGTCCTCACAGGACTGACCTGAGCGTTCGACGGCGCCTTCCGTGGAGAGCGTCACGGGAAGCGTTTTTTGCCACAGTGGCGCGTGTGTGGTCGGTTCTCTTCAAAGTGACGCTGCTGGCTGCCGGGCAGCGCTGGGGGTGCGTCCTAGAGGCTGCGTGGGGAGCCAAGGGGGTGTCTTAAAAGGCTGCTGTGATGGTCTCCACGTGCGATGGCAGGGTTTGGTTTGGGAGCTCAGTTCCGTGACAGGGATGGCATGGAGCCGGGACGCGAGCCTGGGGCCGGTGGGCGGGCGCGGCGAGAGCCCCACGTGGCGTCCTTAGTGACCGGGCGTGCCCACAGGAGGGCCAGGCAGAAGCAGGCTGACCAGCCGAGGCCCCGGGGGAGGAGGCCCCTCCACCCCCCACCAAGAGGGCAGCTCAGCTCCGGGCTTCCGGGCCCGAGCCTGTCTTTGCTCGGGGCGCCAGGGCCTCTGCTCTGTGCCCTGGGCCTCTGCGTGGTCAGCGCCGGGTCACCCAGGCTGCTCTCTGTGAGTCACGGCTGCGGTTTCTCCAGAGACTGAAGACCAGCCCTGTGGCCCCTCTGACCCGTGGCTGCGGCCCTTCTGCTCGGGCCTTTCTTCGGTCAAGCTGCTGGTGGGACCCGTGTGTGGAAGGAGTTTGCAGGTGTTTGTAATTTCATGCCTGGAGCTCAAAGGTTTGGGGCTACGGGAGGAGATTTGGGTGCCCAGGACCATTTCTTGAGAAATGGTCTACTCGAAGGAGTAGAGTCTGTGTAACTGTGGACTGTCCTAAGGAGCCTACGCTCGCCTAGGGGACGGTCTGTCTGCTAGACCTAAGGACACGCCAGTCTGGGAAGGAATAAAGCGTCTTCATGTTTAAAAAGCTCCAGGGGGCCATTCCTGGTGGCGGAAGGGGTTAATAAGCACGGCACTATGAAGCTATCACCAGCCACTGCAGCGTGAGTTTGATCCCCAGCCAGGGAGCTACCCACAGGGCACAGCAGGCCTCATCTGTCTCCCCGCTGCTCCCCTCAGCAGTATTCCGTCAGTCTGCCTGTTCTGCTCCCCACTCTGTCTCTGGTGAATCCTCTCACCCCCCCCCACCTCTGGCCTGCACCCCAGTTCTTATATGCATAAATAAATAAATCTTTAAAAATAGATCAATAAGTAAAAAGGTCACAGGAGCATGGCTGTGAGAACAAGCCACCAGAGGCTACCGCGTGTCAGACGCAAAGAGGGACAGAATCCAATGTGCATCGTAATAAGCGACTCTGCTTCGGGGCTGGGCAGGTGTCCACAGTCAGGCAAGCAGCAAGGGCTCCCTGAGCCTATCCCCTGCCCGCACTGCGCATCCTCCTGGGGGCCCACCCTGCGAGCAAGTGAGTGGGTGAAAGTGTTCACCCCCCAGCGCATCTCTTTGTTTGGGGATTTGGTTGTTGACCTTGTCATTTTTTTAAAGATTTATTTATTTATTTATACAAGAGCTGGGGTACAGGCCAGAGATGCGGGGGGCGAGAGGATTCACCAGAGACAAAGCAGGGAGCAGAACAGGCAGATTGACTGAAGTACACTGCTGAGGGGAGCAGCGGGGAGACAGGAGAGGTCTGCCGCGCCATGTGGGTTGCTCCCTGGCCAGCCGGGGATCGAACTCGTGCTGCAGAGACTGCGGACTGCTTCATAGTGTGGTGCTTAACCCCTTGCGCCACCAGGGAGGCCCCCCTTGTCATTATTTTTTTGAGCGCCTTTGCCGGGACAGATTCCTCGGAGTGATTGTGTTGGTCCAAGGAACCGAGTCATTTTGTCTCTTCCTTGAGCACGTTGCTGGCGCGGGTACAGCCGATGACACGTCGCTGCCCGCGCTGGGTGACATGGACCTCAGGGCACTTTACACGGGTCAAGGAAACGATGATCAGGATTTTGACTAACTGGTTTTCTTTGGAAAGTAGCCACCAGTCACCAGCCCATGCCTGCGTCGCCTGCCCGCGGGGCCGGCAGTCTCACTCACGGCTGCGTTTCTCTTTCACAGATCGACGAGCTCCCCGAGGGAGCCGTGAAGCCTCCGGCCAACAAGTACCCCATCTTCTTTTTCGGCACCCATGAAACGTAAGTCAGCGCGTGACTCCAGTCCGATGACTCTGGTCTGACGCCCTGGCGCCGTGGCCCTCTCTGCTCTCTGCTGCTGACACCTACCAGGGGCCCTCAGGGTGCTCCTCTTGGCTTCGCCGGGGAGACAGCTGAGTCCGTGTCCGGAATCAGCTCTGTTTCCGTCGCATGAACCCAGTGCTGGTGCCGGGGACCCCTCTTCCTCCTCCGAGGGGTGCGGCTGGAGAGCGTGGGCTCTCGTCACCCGCAGCGGGCGCGGGGCCTCTGGGTCAAGCGTTTGTCCTGCCCCCTCCCCCACCCGTGGGGCCTGTCTCCGCACCATCAGCAGCGTCTGTGGCACGAGGCAGGATTGGCACACGGGGCCAGTCCCTGCTCTGGGCACAGAGCCAACCGTTTGCTGGTGGCGCTTGGTGCTCTCAGGAAGTGCTTTCTGGGTGTTCCTGCGGGCGCCCTTGGAGCAGTGCCCGGGCACCTTGCCGACACCACCCCCCGCCCCGGGCCGTGGGGTCCCTGCAGAGCCGGCCTCTTTGCTCCAGGCTGTTGCTCTGGCTGGACTCGGGAAAAGCCACCCCCCACGGCCCTGGGAGTCGCCCCGGCTGGCTCTGACCCGCTTCTCCCCGGAGTTGGGGGGAGCTGGTGAGACCCTGTTTCCTCGCTGCGTGCGGTGTTTCTTCTTGCTTAGCGCCTCGTTGAACACGGACATGACTCTTTCTTAAGTGCATGCGGTGAGGGAATGTCCGTGGGGTGTACGGAGGCAAATCGCTTTCTCAGGCCGGTGTTTACTTTGTCACTGTGAGTGTCACAAAGCTCCTAGGGCAGATGAGCCGCAGTGAGGCTGGTCAAGATGATGGCGTCACGGGCAGAGGTGACGTCCTTAAAACTACTTGTGGACTGAAAAATCAACTTTAAAACAAGAAAAAGAACGGGGCTACCTCAGCAGACCCACGGCCGACGGGGCTGACTGGTGGGTCCAGCCAGTGCCCCGGGGCCGCGCCAGCGCTGTGCTGTCTCCACAGGGCGTTCCTCGGCCCCAAGGACCTCTTCCCCTACAAGGAGTACAAAGACAAGTTCGGAAAGTCAAACAAGCGGAAAGGATTTAACGAAGGATTGTGGGAAATAGAGAACAACCCCGGCGTGAAGTTCATGGGGTACCAGGTAGGTCGCCCCAGCTTGGCCCTGCGCGGTGATCGTGCGCCTGCGGGTCTTTCTGCCAGTGGCCACCGTCACCCTCCTCCCGCTCAGGGTCGCCATCCCTCCGGCTCCAGGAGCGTTTGAAGCAAATGTGGTGCGGGGCGGGGGGCGGGGGCGGCTCGGGTTGGGGGGCCTTGGGCGGGTGGCCGTGGGGAGTCGGGCAGCGGCACGGGGTCAAGGCTCTCCGCGTGAGCCGACCCTTCCAACGGAGACAGACAGCGCCTCGCACATCTGAGGTGTCCCTGGCTGGCGTCTTCTCGTGTCCCAGGCCATCCAGCAGCAGAGCTCTTCGGAGACCGAGGGGGAGGGCGGGAATACCGCGGACGCCAGCAGCGAGGACGAGGGCGGCCGCGTGGAGGAGGACGGCCAGGGCAAGCGCAAGAGCGAGCGGGCGGGCTCCAAGCGGAAAAAGCCGTACCCCTCCAAGGTGAGGCGCGGCGCCCCGGCCACCCGCAGGCTGGGCGTGTCTACACGCTGTCTCCGTGCGTGCGGGGGGCGGGGGGTGCCTGTGTGTGCACGCGTGTGCATGTGGCCGCATGTGCCTGTGTGTGCACGCGTGATTATGTGAGTGTGCACATGCACACACATCTCAAGCCTCTAGAGTCCCCGCGAGGCTGCTCCGAGGTTGCTTGTGACTCCTCACGCAGCACATAAGAGCACCCTGTCTGAGCCTCTGCCTCCAGCACAGCGCGAGGGGTGGGCCGGGCGGCCCCAGGTGGGGGCACGTCTGCTGCGCCCCTCCAGCGCCGACGTGGCCTTCTGCTGGGCAGAGGGCGGCCGCCCGGGTGCTGTGAGAGGCACAGGGGTGTGGGCGCCCGAGAGTCGCTCCTGCCGGCAGGACTGGGCCTCTTGTCTCCCGCTCAAAGGAAGCCCCGGCTCTGCCCAGCCAGCAGGGGCAGCCCCTCCCTGCGAGTTCGCGGCCCAGCAGGCTGGGGGCACCGAGCAGGGTGGCGTGGTTGAGGCGCACTGGGCCATGACGGGCACCCCCGCAGACGGTGGCCAGGCCCTTCGGAAGAGGCGAGTCCGTGCGGGAGGAGCCAGCGGCAGGGCTGGGGCGGGCGTGTCCCGACAGAAAGCAGGCCAGCGTGGGTGCTGACCCTGGTTCTGAGGGGGCAGCAGATGCCACCGATGCAGAGGCCAGAGCCCGCAGGAGTCTGGGTTTGGCCCCAGGGGCGAGGGCAGCGCACTGAAGGCTCCGAGCGGCGCACACGGGCTCACGGGCCGCAGTCTCGGCTTCTCACACCGCTGATTCAGAAGCACAGTGCGGGAGCTGCGGGACCGCGGGACCGTCACCCTTGGGGGCTGAACGCAAGACGCCAGCTTTTCAGAGCTCGGGCCGGGGCTAGCCCGGGGGGCTGGGCTCCAGGCCCCCGCCGGACACGCCTGCGAGCGTTCAGCAAACCCTCCTGTGTCTGCAGGGCGGCGCTGCTTACCGACTCGGGTCCCCACGGTGCTCGGAGGGCGTCCCGGGGAGAAGGGGGCACGGTGACGGCTGCCGGAGGCCAGGCTAGAAGCGGTGGCTGCGCTTCCACCCTGACGCCTATTCACCGGGAGACACAGACCCCTTGCTGTGCTGTCACGCCGGCCTGAGCCCCCGCCCCCCGCTCCCCAGTGAGCCGGCCTCGGGGCATGGGTGTCCCAGCGAAGGGGGGGGCCACGCAGACCCCCTCCGCAGCCGGGAGGGGGTCCCGACGTGCCAGCTCATTCCTGGGAGGCCGCAGGTGACTTCTTAGCTCCCGCGTGCCGCCTGCTCACAGATCCTTAAAACTCCCCAAGAAATGCCCCCCAGGGCCGCACGGGCCTTTCTCATGGCCGCGAGCAGCCGCCCTGCTGTCTCCACGCCGGTTTGCACAGCGGCGTGGCCAGACCTGCCTCCCGAGGCTCCTGTGGCTTCAGCTCTAAGATGATAAGGAGACGAGCAAGAGCCTGTTGTCCCCGCGACTGGTCTCGGGCCCTAAAGTAACTGCCCTTGATTTAAAAGCCCGAGTCAGTGTCCAGGTTCTCGCATGCCCAGCCTCGGCAGGACCACTGCACCCCACCAGCCCCGTGCTGTGGCCAGAGCCCCCACACACCCCACGCCCTCATGTCCGGCTCCCCTCACTCCCCAGGGCCTCGCTTCTGGGGGGGCCTTGCTCCCCGGGGCCTCGGTTTCTGCCGCTGTCCAGGGGGCCAGCGCTGGGGTGACCTCGCGGCCCTCCCAGGCGGTGGCATCACGTGCTGTGTCCCCAGTGGTGACCCGGGCACAGGACTGTGCCACCGCTGGGAGGAGCTGAGCGGGGCGGCCGTGCTGGCTTCCTGGCCGGTGCCCAGAGGCCTGGCTGGGCCGGCGGCGGTGACGGCCCGGGCCTCCGGGTGCTGACTGACCGCTGACTTCTGCCGTCTGAACACTCAGAAATCCTCTAAGCAGTCCCGGAAGTCTCCGGGGGACGAAGACGACAAGGACTGCAAGGAGGAGGACAAGAGCGGCTCCGAGGGGGGCGACGCCGGCAACGACACGAGGAGCGCCGCTGCGGACGTGCAGAAGGGCGGCGAGGGGGTGAGCGGCGGGCGGGGGGAGACTCAGGCACCCCTGGAGCAGGGCCGAGGCGCTGGGAGGGCTGAGGAGACGCCTCGTGGCTGCTGCTCTCTCCCTGGGGGCCCTGTGGGTGCTCGGGAGCGGGGCGGGAGGGAGCGTTGCAGGTTCAGGGGAGATGGGGGAGGGGTCGCCAGGAAGCAGCTGGGGCGTGGGATGGGGGCTAGGGCGCGGGGTCTGGGGCGCAGCTGGGGGACGGGGGCACAGCTGGGGGGTGCTGGGGCACGGGGTTCGGGGTGGTCCTCCCCGCGGCCCCGGGCCCACCGCCGTGTCCTCCTGCAGACCTAACGCTGCCGCGAGCGCCGCCTGCGGAGAGACCCACGGAAGCTCCTGTGTCGGCCGTGACGTCCTCGGATCTGACAGGAACAACACACAATCCCGTCGTCACCGGCAGAGCCCCAGTTTGTATGCACATGTTCACATTCCTCTCTGTTGTGTTTGGGCAAAAAAAAAAAAAAAAAAGACATTTTAGTCTTTTTTTAAGGTTACTGATTTGATTCCATGTTATTCGGTTGCATGAAGTTGCCCTGAACCACTAAGGATTATCCAGATTTTTGCACAAACTTAACCGTGTCTAGGATCCTCTCGACCAAGGCGTTCTGTCCCTGACGCTCCTGCCTTTAGCCGCCACCACCAAACACTCAGATAGAAATCAGCATTTTTTAACGACCTCCAGCGTTTAAGGGATCTCCTCCCCCGACAGAACCGGAGCCAGTTCTAGACACACAGTGCTGGCGTGTGACCCGCCAGGGAAGCTGTCCTTCAGTTCTGAGGCCATGTGTGACGTCCACCTCGTTGTAAGATACCGATCCCACATAAGCTAGCGCACACTCCTCCAGACTCGCGTCGCCGCGCGCACAGACTCGGTTTCTCTATGTGAGGTCAGTGACCCCTTCTGTGTTCCTCCAGCGCAAAGGCCACCCTTGGTGGGCCCAGGGCCAGCCCCCTCCGAGCTCTCACCCCAGGTGACCTTTACCTCCTGAGGCTGGAGCTGGCAGCGGCCCTGGGAACAGACAAAGCACTGACTTTTACATGCAGATTTCCAAAACCAACTCCGTTTTCTTTTGGGACTAGAATTAGAATAGTTGACCTTCATCCACACCCATTACTATGTGCACATTATTGTTGCTATTGTGATAATAGAGAATTTTATTTATTTTTATGCCAGCTCATATCGTGAGGACACATTTACTAGTCGGTTTGGGTTTTATCGATCCTGTTATGCTCGTCCTTGGAACATCTTTCGCGTACTCAAGGTTTGTAGTTGAAAAGTTTACTGTAAAAAAAAAATCAAAAGCAAAAAAAATGTATTGTTTTTACAGAATAAATTTATTGGAATGTGTACCGGGAGTAAGATTCGAGGCTGTAAATGCCTCAGTTAGTGTGACTTGGCTTCATACATGTAACGTGAGGTATCAATGTAATTCATATATTAAAGCAAAACTTGTTCACTCTAAGTTGACAGTAGAATCAAGCGCAGGCGAGGGTTTTCTTTTTCTCTCTCTTTTTTCAAGCACTCTTTGGTCTTTGAGCTTTTTGAAAACATCTGGGGGAGGGAGAATGGCCCGTGATTTCTTGCGCATCTGAGGGAATATTTGCCAGCTCACAGACCCCGAATTCACATACTCGACACTGACCCCTATATTCTTTTAGCGAAGAGCTAATAAATGAAATGAGGAGAAAATGTGAGACGCTCTGAAGCCTGGGCCGTTGGTGGAAGAGGTGGTGGTGGTCACAGTGGAGGTGGGGGTGGTGGACGTGGGGGTGGTGGAGGGGTTGGCAGGGGTGGTGGGGGTGGAGGTGTCGGTGGGGGTGATGGTGGGAGTGGTGGGGGCAGGAATGGCAGCCCCAGGGAATGGAAGCACCAATGCACTTATTTATTCCAGGGCACTGATTGGTGGTTTTATCTTCAGTTTCTCGCTCTCATTCAGCACATACCGGTTTTTCTCTATCATTAAAGGACAGTCGGGACGCCCGTCCAGGTCTTATTCCTAAACAGGCACTTTTAAATTTTGTGTATGTTAATTTATTTAAAATTAATAAAATGCAATTCATCACACACTAAAGCAGAGGATGTAGATGACATTTAATTAAAACACATAACAGAGATTTTTTAAATAAAAGCATAAAGAGTACAACTTTTTCTGAAAGTAAGATGTGGCAAATTTAATAAGATTTGTCTTCGAGAAAGCCCAAAAATTTTATGAAAAATATACACAGAAATACAATAGAGTGTTTTCCAGTTAGCAATAAAAGAGAATTAAGGACACTGGTAAGTCATCCATCCCTCAAGCTATTTACTCACCAAAAAATTTAGTGAAAGCAAATTTTAGAACAGCATTAAATCCTCCTTTCCCTGGGAAAACAGTTTTCAAGTGACGTTTTGTAAAGCTCTGAGGGCCCGCGCGGGAGGCTGGCAGGGAGGCACCAGCCCGAGGCTGCCGCGGCCCTTTCCCGCCGGCCTGGAGAGCTTCGCCTTGTGCTGCCCAGCGTGGGCCCCGGACGGCGCCCTCCCACCGTGTGACGTGGACAAACGGGACCAGGCCTGGTCCCAGGGGGTTTCAAGCCCCTGTCTGTAAACAACGTTGTTGAGACTCTGAAGTCGGAGTTTCTCACCTTCAGTTTTCCCTGAGAAAGAGAATTCCCCGCACGGCACGGAAAGGGGGGGGGGGGTGCCTGCAGGGCCCAGGAAGGGGGAGTGGGGTGCAGGGCCCCTGTGCGTCATGTGCAAGGTGCAGGGGCCGGCGGGCGGGGCAGTGCGGGCAGAGATCCACAGCGGAAGAGCAGAAATAGCATTTTATTCAACCTTTTCATCTGCTTTCGTTTTTATGAAGAACTCCGGGCTGTGGAGGCACCGAAAGGCTAGGAGCTGAGGCAGGGCCCCGTACGCCACGTTTACCACTAGAAAAAGGACCTTGGCCTCTTCGGGGACCCTGTACACGTAGGCCGTCCTGGCGTGCAGAGAAGCGCCGATGTGCGAAAACTGAGCCTGTTGGGTCGAAAACGGGGGCAAGCAGGTGAGCACGGAGCTTCGTGGCGCTTTGGGGTTCCCAGTGCTCCAGGGGTTCAGAACTGGGCAGTCCCCGGCCTCAGCCATCAGGGCCTGGGCAGTCCTGAGCGGCAGAGCCCGCCTTGAACCTGGCAGAAATACCCATCCGGGGCCCATGCTTGAGACAAGACTTGCCGGGGAAACCCGAACAAAACCTCGACTTTTCCCTGATTCACAGCCTGCAGTCCCACGCGGGGCTCGCTGGGGTCCTGGGAAGGGCTTGGGGCAAAATTAAGACAGCGCAGTCTAGACGCAGCCTGCTTCGGGCGGCACGGGCACGGTCAGGGCACACGGGACCCTGCCCCACCCGCCAGCCCCGCCCCTGCGAGCCAGGCATTGCCTGGGGGCTGAGCTTCATCATCTGTGGGTTTCTTGTGCCCCTATCACAAGCTGTCACTGAGGCGGGGGTCACGGTGCCAGCCGCGGGGCCTTCTCCTGGGCTAGTAAGCATCCGAGTTAACAGAGTAGAGCAGGACCCTCTCAGGCCCAGCATTCCTGGGCATCCATCCTGAAACCTGGCCGGCATAGCCTCTCCCTCAGGCTGCACACCCCTGCATGACCCACCTCCCGCTCGGACCTGCGCGAGAGGCCCAGTCAGCTCTTGAGGGTCCAGAGGCAGAGGAAGGGCATGCAGGGAGAACATGCACAACCAGAGACCAGGCATCCCCGACCCCCAGGAAGAGGCACGAGGGGGAGGAAAGCAGTTTCGACAGCTCTGCTGCACTTAACAGCCGGCCTGGAGCAGGAGATTCCTGGTCCAGGAGACCCGGAAGAGTCTTAGCTACGGCTCCCCCCACTGGAAGCGGGGCTGGGGGGGGGGGGTTCCAGTTAGTCTGAAATCAGGAGGAGCGATCGGGGCACACTGCACAAGGAGGGGCCCTCCCAGCCGCCAGTGCGCACGGTACCTGGGCCAGCCCTCCCGCGTGGACCAGCGCCAGGTCCGGCAGCCACGAGCACCCGGGGACGGCCAGGCCGTACAGCGCGAACACGAAGAAGGGGACGGAGTAGAACAGGTGGGCCAGCATCTGCGTGGGCAGCGCATCCGCGAGGGCGTTTGCACCTGCCCCCCAGGGCCGCGCCTCCCCACTCGCAAGGGAGAGTCCCGGGACCCGCAGGGTCAGCCCCTGACCTGGATCCTGGGGTAGGCGGCAGGGTCCCTCAGGTAGGGCTCCTGGGACTGTGCGTAGATGCGGCAGAGCTCGGCGGGGCAGTCCAGAGCAACCTGAAGCCAGAGGGAAGCGGCGGTGAGGACGCCACCCCTGCAGCCCCCATGCTGCATGGGGCCGGGGCCGGGAGGCAGGCCCGGAAAGGAAGCAGCGGCACTGGGGGAGCAGGGCCGGGCGCTATGCTGCCTTCTGGCTGCCCCGCGGCTGCCCCCCGAGGGATCGTGAGGTGGGGTGGACTGGAGCCCCGGCCGGCAGCCTCCTCGGCCCCACACAGCAGGCGAGCACGGGTGCACTGGGCCGGCTTTCCCGGGGCCCAGCCGCCGCCTTCACAAGAGACGTTCCCTTAGGTCAGCAGCTGAAGGGAGGAGCCCACGCGGCTTATTCTCCCAGCGCCCTGCAGCAGGGAAGGGACGCGCCTCTGGGCCAGGCAGGCAGGGGGTGGGGGGCAGTGTTTCCGGACTGGACCACCGGGGAGGGCCGGCCGGGCAAGGGCGGGTGCGGGCAGGAGAGTGCCGCCCAGGTTCTTGGGGTGGACGCTCCAGCGCCCTGAGCCACACCGCCTGTCGTCGCCCGTGCTTACCAGGCCTCGGAACAGGCTAAACGCAGCCGCCAGGAGCAGACCCAGCACCAGCATCAGATCCAGGGGTCTCCTCAGCAGGCCCTTGGCCTGGACTTCCTGCACCACCTGGAGAGAGGGCGCCAGCAGCGCCCAGACCGCCGGGCAGCACCACGCCGGGGCAGGAGAAGGGGAACCGCGTACCCCAGTGTGCTGCCCTGCACACCCGGCCCCTCCCACGGCAGTGAGTCCGCAGGCAGCCCCCGCCCCAAGGATCTGAGCCAGTACGGCCGCCGGCCCGGGGTGCCGAAAGCCGCGCCTGGGGTGGACGCAGGGGTACACGCCGGGCCGGATGCCCTCGGCCACTGTCCCGGGGCCAACAGCTCGCGGCGCCCCGGGTCATGCGGGAGGCCCAGGCTGCGGGAGGCCCCGGTCGGGTCAGGGGCGCCCGCGAGCCCCGCGGGTGCGGACGGCTGACGGGCAGTGGGGAGACTCACCTTGGCGGGGCGGGCGCGGCTGTCCGGCGGCTGCGCGTAGATCCGGAACCCGGCCCAGACGGGCAGGCAGGCGTAGGGCAGGCTCAGGAGCGAGGCCGGGCACAGCCGCGTCCCGTACTTGCCTGCGGGGAGAGGCGCGTCGGCCCGACGGGCTGGCGGGCGCCCCTGGCGCCCCGGGGCTCGGGGCCCGGACTCTCCACGGAGGCAGGAAGAGCGGCCGCCCGCCCGCCCGGCGCTCGCCGCCCGCGCCCGCGTCCACCCCGGGCCGCGGCCGCAGACGCCCCGTCCTCCCGGGGCGCGGGAGCTGCTGGCCGCGGGCGGCGGGCCCGGCGCACCCCGAGTCTCAGGGGCGCGTCTCAGGAGGGGGCGGGCGCAGGGCGGCGCGGCTCGGGCCGGGCCGGGCCGCCGGGTCCCCCGTAGCCGCCGCGCGGCTCCCGGCCCAGGGCCGCCCGGGGCGCGTCAGGCGGGGCCTCACCCACGATGCTGCCCGGCACGAGCACCACGACGCTCATGGTCACGGAGCCCGCCCAGAACAGCCCGACGCTCCGGTAGCTCTCCCTGCGGGGCGCGCGGTCAGCGCGGGCGGCCGGGCCGGGCCGCCGGGCCACGGCCGCGCAGGAGCCCGCGGGGCCCGCCGGGGAGGCCGCGGCCCGGGGGAAGCAGGCCCGGGGGAAGCAGGCCGGGGAAGGGCTCGCCGCGCCAGGCGGCCCCGGGGCCGAGGCGGACACGCGGTCCCGGGGGGCGGGACACACGCGCCGGGGCCGGGCCGGGGCGGGGGGGGGGGGGGGGGGCGGGAGCCCGACTCCGACCTCCCCGCAGGCCCCGCGGCGGACGGCGGCTCCGGAGCGGCTCCCCCTGCGCCCCGCGGGGCCGCGGAAGCCTGAGGGGGGTCCCGGGCCGCGACGCCCGGAGGGGCCGCGAGTCCCCGCGGGACGCCCGGGAGCCCCAGGGACAAGCCGGCGGAGCCCGCCCCCCCACGCTGTGCCGCCGGGGTGCTGGGGGTGCTGAGCCCCCAGCATGGAGGGGCCGGGCCTGGGGCCTTGGGGGTGCAGCCTGGAGGTCCGGGGGCGTTGCTCGGACTCAGGCTCACTCGGGGGTCCCGGACGGGACGCACACGTGCCCCACACGTGCCCCCACACGTGCCCCACACGTGCCCCACACGTGCCCCCCACACGTGCCCCACACGTGCCCCCGCAGCGCTGCGCCCGGAGGCCGCGACGCCCGAGAGGCGGGGCCGGGCCGGGGGAGGGGTGTCAGGGGAGGGGCGTGGGGAGACGCGCGCACGCAGGGGAGCGCTCGCAGGGACGCACACGCACGCACGCGCACGCTCGCAGGGGAAAGCACGCGGACGCAGGGGCACGCACTCGCACTCACGCACGCGAGGACGCAGGGGCGCGCACGCAGGGGCGCGCACGCACGCACGCGGACGCAGGGGCACGCAGGGCGCGCACCGCCGCGCGGACTCACTCCCACGCGATGGCCGCCACCATGACCAGGTAGAGCAGGTAGTGCGCCGAGCCGTCCCAGTAGCAGATGAGGTGCGCGTGCGCCGTGTTGAGGTGCGGCTCGCCCTGCGGGGGCGGACACAGCGTCGGGGGGTGGGCGGACGGGCGGGCTCCGGCCCGCGCACGATGGGCGCCGCAGCCTCCACGCGGAGACGGCCGTCCGCACCCTGGGGTGCCGCCCCCCCCCCAGCCTGTGGAGGCGGCGCGGGCGCCGGGAAGGGGCAGCCGAGGGCCGGGCGCGGCAGGCCAGCTCAGAGGTGAGGCGGTGGCCGCGGGGTGGGGCTCCCCCGGGTCGCGCCGACTCCCAGGCAGGACGAGCCGCGCCTGAGGCCTCGGCTTCTGGGGGGGGGGGGCGGGGCGGCACCTGAGGCTCAGCGCCCTGCGCCTGTCCCGCAGGCCCTCCTGTCAGGCCGGAGGTCCTCCACGAGCTGCATCCCCCAGCGGCTCAGAGGCGGCCCCGGCCAGGCCGCTCCCTCCCCAGGCGGCTCCCTGCCCTCCTCAGGCTGACCGGGCTGACCTGCCGCGCTCCGGTCCCGGCCCCTCCTGGGGGCATCACAGGGTCTTGGGCTTTCGCGCCTCGACCTCCTCCCAGCAACCTGGTCTCAGAGGCACCCCCCGGGCAGCCGGGGCCAGGCCAGGCCTCAGTGCCCACCTGGCCCTCCCCGGTAGCCGCCTCCTCTGGCCCCCCCGGAACCACAGTCCTGCTGGCAGCTGCAGCGGCCCGAGGCCAGCTCTGGACAGGGGGCCCAAAGTCCTCTGGGACCTGCTGGCCACCTGGGTCCAGCCCCATCTCCTCCCCTGCAGCAGCCCGGCCCCGCCCTGTGGGCCCCCAGCTCCACACAGGCCCCTCCCAGCTCCATCGGGCCTGGCACCCTCCCTGCAGCATCCTCCCCTCCTGGGGGTGCTGGGCCCTGTGCACCCCAGTTTTCCTTCCGCCTCTCTGGCCCCACCAGTACCCCTCAGGGCTCCTGGCCACAGCTGTGCCTCCCTAGCCGGGAATGTTAGGTGTCCGTGGCCACACCACCATTCAAGAAACACCACAGCCATGTGGCCACCGCGGAGGCCTCTGGAGTCCAGGGCCGGCAGCGTCGCACACAGGGATGGCATCTCTGCCTCCACACAACCATGAGCCCTGGAGGAGGGAGCAGGGCCGGAGCCCAGGCCTCCTTCCACGCGTCCTCATACCCGACTCTTCTCCTCCCACTGGTGGGTGACTCCAGCCTTCTTCCCCAGCACCCCAGCGGAGGTCCCCCAGTCTCCCCACTCAAATCCTCTGAGGCTCGGCCCCTCTGCTTCTTGGCATCCCAGGCCCTCACGGCGCCAGAGAGCCTCCTGCAGGGTCTGGCCCTCACCAGGGGTCCTCCCTGCCACACCCACCATCCTCAGAGCGGCCTTGTTGCCCCGGACACAAACAGCCCAACCCTGACTCCCCTGCTCGCCCACAAAGCTCCCCCTTACTGGAGACGCAGGTGAAGGCCCCCTCAGCTCTGCTTCTGACCCCCTGTGGCCAGGGCAATTGTGCAGCCCCTCTGGGCTGGCCGTCACCCCATAGAAAGAGAGCATGGGCACTCTGCAGGCAGCTCGGGCACAGAGAGCCCCTGCCCCGGGTCCCGTTCGTCATGCATTTGGGCTTTCAGCTGCAGGGGGCGGCTGTGTGTTCAGTGTGTCCCGTGGACACACAGATGTGACGCTGTCTGGGCCCTATTCTCCTGCCCGTGCAGGGCCTCCGTCCACACAGAGGGACGCGTGCCCAGGCCGTGCTGAGGCAGACCTACCTCACGCAGATAGTGCGTCATGAAGCCATCAATGACCCCGTCCTGCTCCAGCCCTATGATGAGGCTCACCACGCTGGTAAATCCGAACACCGCGTACACTAGGGCGAAGAGAGCAGCGGCTCAGGCAGCCCGTCGGGGGCGGCATCGGAGCCTGCAGTCGCCAAGCACCCGGACCATCTCTCTCCATGTTTCCCCTCAGGGCCACAGACCGGCCAGACTCCACTCTGGCCACCACACCCTCGGGAGCAACCCAGGTGCCCGGGGCACTCTGCCGGGCCGCCCCCCCCCCCCAGGCTGCCAGGACCTTGCTGCTGGGCAGGTGACAGTGGCCTCGAGACAGTGAAGCCAGAGATGTAACGTGGACGTGTGGCGGGACGACCTCATAGTAAAGAAGGGGGGTCCGAACGCCCGGGGCTATCGCTGGGCTGTGAGCCTGTCCCAGACTGCCGGCAGCGGAGCGCGGCGCAGCAACGCTTGGAGAGCAGCCTGTTCCAGGGGCCTCTGTCCTGGGCCCGGCTTTGGGGGGCAGGGACGGTGCCTCCGAGGCCGGGCCTGAAGACAGCCCCGTGGTGCCTCTGTCCGCTGTGGGAAGGGCACTCGCGGGGAGCATGGTCCAAGCACAAAGGGCACAGGCAGCCCCGAGCCCCCGGCCTGCCGGGGAGCAGCCCCAACCAGCTGCACTGCTGCGCACGATAAACCAAGTGTATGTGGCCAAGACACGGAGACCCCGCGGCTGTCCACCAGGGGTGAACGGCTAAGGAGGCGTGGGGTGTGCGCGGTGGGTGTTACCCAGCCATGAGAAAGGGGAAGTCTCACCACCGGAACCACGGGGGCCCTGGGCTGAGGAGACAGGCCAGAGACAGGCCAGACTGGTGGCCGGCCCCGGGTAGCCTGGGAGCAGCGGGTGGGGAGCCAAGCAGACTGGGCCTGCCAGGCGTGGGGTGGGAGGCTGCAGGAGAGGTAGGTGTGAGACACCCCCCAGCCGCCAGAGGACTCGTGCTGCGCGCGCGGACGCGCAGGAGTCGCGGGGACGGCAGCCGGGCCCGTCTCCAGGGACGGCCTCTGTGCACACACGTCTCAGGCGTCACGTCGTGCCCTTAACCTAACACAGTGTCACACGCCTCTTGACCGGGGCCCCAAGGCCGGTTTACAGCAGAAAGCGAGCAAACACCCAAAGTTCCCGGCAAGAAAGGGGCTCCGCAGCGGCACCGGCTCTGTGGGGCGCGAGGACGCAGGACAGAGTGTGGGCGCCGGATGGCGTGGCTCCCTGCCGGCTGCGCCCGTCCCCCATCACGGAGCGTCTCTGCCGCGTGGAGCACGTCTGTGTGGGGGTCAGGCGGAGCCTGGTGGGTGGGGTTCGTCTCTTGCTGGCCGGCTCTTCCTGCTGCACGGGTGCTGTCTCCCGGGATGTCTGTGCCGACCCTCCTTGGCCGCGGCCATCGTGCTCCTTATAATATGGTCAGACAGGGCCAGGTGCTTTCACTTGAGCCCCGTGCAGGGCCCGGGGAGGCCGAGCAGGAAAGCCCGCAGCCGGGAAGGAGCTGGTACTAGAGTCAGGTCAGAGGCCGGACCTGGCTGGGAGCAGCTGCGCGTCCTGCCCGCTGGGAGGGGTGAGGCCCAAACACCCCCCCCGCCCCACTTTCACCGGGGGCATTAAGAGGCAGACAGCCCCTGAGAGACGCACCGTAGAAAAGTGGGTCCCGCGGCGGCTTCCTCTGCACCAGGACGCGGGCCAGCAGGGCCACCAGGAGCAGGATGAGGGCCGCGACCCCCACGACTGTCCAGGAACTGCTGGGACGAAACAGGGAGGCGGTCACTTACCGGGGAAGCAGGCCAGGCCTGGCTTGAAAGCGGCCCATGCCTGGGCGGCTCGTGCAGTGGCGCTAGGCACTCTGGCCCTCGGTGCCCACCCCGTGTCCTGCCACCCGCCTCGCCGGCACACACCACTTGTCTGGAGTGTCCTTTGCCCGCCCCCCACCCCCGCCGCCTCCGCTCTCAGCCCTGAGCCTGCCGCCCCCCCAGGGCCTCGGCCCTCGGGACAAGGCGAAGAGCCATGGTCCTGTGTGGAGTCCAGGGGCCAGAGGACAAGGCCCACTGGCGAGGGGGGTGCCAGCCAGGCCAGACCCGAGGCCAGATGAAGCCACAACCCCAGCCCAGGTGAGGTGGGGCTGGCCCGGACCCCGCCCGGAGAGGGCACAGCTCCCAGGAGCCTGGGCAATGTCAGCTCTGCAGCCAGGCGGCACTGGCCAGCGCGGCGAGTCAGCCTGCTGGACACCAGGGCTGAGCACCCACTTGCCACAGCCAACAGCACGGCCCAGGGAAGCCAGGTCCTCCCTCACTTTCTTACGACTTCATTAGAAACACCCTGAGAAAGGAACAGACGGCACAGCTCGTGCACCAGGCTGGGCACTGGGTGAGCAGGGGTGCCCTGCCGCCCCCCGGGGCCCTCGTGGGCTCCCGGCCTCTCACCCGTGGGCGTCTCCAGTCCCACAGTGCCCTCCTGCCACGCCTCAGGGTCAGGGCCACCTTGTCGGCCTGGAGGGCTGGGGGCTGGGCTCTGGCATCTCAGCACCCGGAGATCTCCAGACGCCACCCCAGGCCCAGAGCCAGAACGCTACGGGCAGGTATGCGGGGATAGACGTCGTCTTGAAGCTACACCAGCGAGTGTGATGTGGGGGTCTGCGAGGGCCCCCGTGAGGGTGTACAAGCCTCCGTGACGGATGGGGGGGTGAGAGGAAAGAAGTGGTTGGTGCGTGGATGGTGAGTGGTGGGTAGACTCGGGATGGCAGATGGCAGGGGCGGGTGGGGGGGTGGAAGGTGACAGATGGATGGACAGACCCAGCTCTGGAAAGAGGGGCATGACAGTCCACACCCGGGAGAGGGAGAGGGGTTCTGGTGGTGGCCTCGGGGTGCTCCAGGCTCCTCCCGGAGGGATGACGGATGAGACGAAGGAAGGGGAAGCTGATGCAGGTCAGGAACCCTGGGCGGGAGTGTCCCCTGCAGGGGGGCGAGGTTGGGGTGCAGTGTGAGCTGGCAGGTGGTGGCCAGGGGACGAGCCTGCCCCCCTCCTGCCAGGGTCACGGGCGCACAGCTGCGCTCTCGGGCACCCCACACAGTGTGGCCCGGTCTGAGGCCTCCAGGGGAGGCGCCGAGAAGCAAGAGAAACTGGGGCAGCCGACCGTCTGGGTCTCCCTGAGCCCGCCCGCCCGCGCAGGGCCTGCTTGGACAGGGATCGGCGGGCCCCCCGGGGCGCGGGTGGGTGGCAGGCCACGGCCAAGCCCAGACTGACCTCACTCGGTCTTAGGAGGGGGAGAGACGGTCCTGGTGCCCCTCCCTGAACTGACCCCCGCGGAGAGCGGTGCTGTGAGGAAGGGCCCAGCGCTCCCCTGGTTCAGCCTACCGCTCTGTTTTTCAGGTGTTTGTGAAAGTTCTGGTGGAGAGGAGGCTTCAGCCAGTGCGACCGAGCGCAGCCTAACAATGTCTGCCCGCCCGGCCCGCTCTGCTCGCGGCCTACTGGGCCAGACAGGCCAGGAGGCAGCTGTGGCCTGGGCAGGTGAGTTCTGACGCCAGCAAAGAGCCCTCCTGGAGCGAGCGCCATCCCAGGGGCTCAGCCGAGAGACCATGTCCGCTGGGCCGGGAGAGGAAGCGGTAGTGGGGTCCAGGATGTAGGTCCCCCTGCCCCGGCCTCCGCGGCAGCCGCCAACAGGAAGGCCCCGGCCAGGGGGAGTGGACAAGGCCTCAGTGGGCACTGTGGCTGGCGTGGCAATGGCGGGCTGGGCGGAGGAGCCCAGGTCAGAGAGGGCCAGCACCAGGGGGACGGAGGGGGAAGCAGATGTGAGCTGCGCCCAGGGCCTGTGAGGAGGAGGATGTGGGGGGAGGGAAGGGGTCACTGCTGCGGGAGGACAGGATGGCGAGGTCCAGCTGCCCAGAGCAGGGCAGGGCTTGGCAAAGAGCCCAAGGTGGCGGCAGTGACACACCCTTGGGGGGCATTCTGTGCTGTCACTGTCCTCCCAGTGGCTGATGCCCAGACCTGTCTCCTCGAATCCCCTCCATGCCACCCCTGCTGTCCCCCAAAATATCCCCACAACCAGCCACTTCCCTCTCCCAGCACTGCTCCCCATTCCTCCACCTGGAAGACTGTCCCCACATCTCCCCAGAACCAGGATCTCTTGCAGCGCGTGTCACCTCCTCCAAGAAGCCCGCCCTGACCAGCAGCCCCTCCCCAGTCACCCCACACACCTAGCGTGTGTGCCGGCCATCTCGGCCCATGCCTCCCAACCCCGCTGGGCCTGTTCCCAGCTCTGTTCCCCAGCACTTGGCACAGTGCCAGGCGCCAGGGTAGCCGCTCAGAAGACATTTGCTGAAGTGCCCACAATGCCATTTTAGGGGCGTGGGATTCCCCAGGCGTTATAGTCCCAGCCCAGAGCTGTTGCTCCCAGGAGCAACATCCCCAAGTCTAGACGGAGGGCAGAGCCGTGCCGGGGCACTCGGCGTCCAGAGCCCTGTGCCCTGGGGTGGGCCCTGAGCAGCCCCGCCCGGGAGGAAGTCGCCGCCTGCCCTGCAGGCGGGCATTTCCAGGCAGCCGGAGCCTGGGGCTGCAGGGCGGGCGGATGCAATTTCCTGAGCCGACCGCTGTGCCCAGCCCGCCGCCCTGGCCGCTGCCCCGTGGGCTGCAGCTGAACCGGGGCGAGGGTCCAGCGTCCACCAAACCCAGGGAGGGCCTTGGCCAGCCCCCCCCCCGTTTCCTGGTGGGGCCACCCCTCCTTCCTCGCTTCCTCCGCGGTGCCCCTTCAAGCCAGTCTCCTCGGCCCAGGCTGCGCAGAAGTCGCGGCCATTTGACAGGCCGGCACGCCGAGGCCGGCCCGGGCAGCGGGCGGCGTCCGCTCGTCCTTCCAGCCACTTCCCAAGTGACGAAGCTGAGCGCGCAGGAGCCGCAGCCGCCCCGGGGGCGCCCGCCGGGCTGGGGGTCTGCGCCCCGGCCGCCTCCAGGGGAGGGGCGTGCCCTTTGGCCTCCGCCCGCGGGGCCCGGCCCGCAGCCAGCGCCCCAACACGCCCCAGGCCGGCCGGGGCCCCTTCCCGGGAGACGCCCCGTTCCCCCAGGACCCAGGCGCCCGGACAGCCCGGCCCGGGCCACCCCAGGGCGAGGCGCGGACGCCGGCCAGGCCGCCCCTCCCTGGGGCTCCGGGCGGGAGGCTGCCGGGCGGCCGCGCCGCTGCTCCTCCTCCCCCGCCGGCCCCCCGCAGCGCCCCGCGGCGGTCCCGGCTCGGCCGGGGGGCGGGGGGCGGGGGCCGCGCCCCCCAGGCCCCCACTCACTCGTGCTGGGCCGCCAGGTGGTTGAAGACGTAGGTGGCCGGGATGGCCGACAGGGACAGCGCGAAGACCCCGGTGGCCGCCGAGGCGCTCATCGCCGCGCTCGCCCTTCACTGCATCCCGCGGGCGCCCCGCCCCGGCTTCCGGCGCCGCGCCCCCCGGCGTGGCCCTGCGCCCCGCGCCCCGCACCGGCCCGCGCCGCCCACCCCCCCCCCGCCTCCCGCCGGCCGTGCCCGCCGCCCCGCGCCCCCCGACCGTGCCCTTCCCGCCGCCCCGCGCCCCCCGACCCCCGACCGTGCCCTTCCCGCCGCCCTGCGCCCCCTGGCCGTGCCTGCCCCGCGCCCGCGCCCCCCGGCCGTGCCTGCCCCGCCCTCGCGCGCCGCCCAGGGTCCTGCACCAGCCTCCGCCGCACGGCCGGGATGGGGAGGCGGGCGGGGCGGAGCCCGCGGGACCCCGGTGGGGGCGGGGCCGGGGGGGGTGCGGGCGCGGCCTCGGGACCTCTCCGGGCGGCCAGCCCCGCTCCCCTCCGCCCTGCGCCCCGCGGGCTGCGCGCTCGCCAGCTGTTGACCTTGGCCGGCCGCCTGACCTCGCTGAGCCTGTCTGTCCGGTGGGCAGCTGCCCGCGAGTCAGGGCGCAGCGAGAGCCCCCGCCTGCCCTGGGCGCCCCTCCCGCGGTGCCCGCTGAGAGTTGACACTTAGGGCCCCGGAGGCCTGGGTGGGTTTCTGTCCCTGGGCCGGGGTGGAGGCCCCCGAGGCACTTGGGGTGAGGCCCTCCCTGGACGTCCAGCCTGTCTCCGCTCTGGTCGGAGATACTGGGGTGTCTGCATGAGGGGACCTGGCAGGAGCCAGGAGAGGTGGGCCAGGCGCAGCTCCCTTGGGTGCGGGAGCAAGCGCTCCGTGGGTGACCCCCATTAGAGAGCAGGGAGAAGCGGCAGAAGGCAGCTTGCCAATGTCCCCTAGAGAGTGAGGACCTGAGCCAGAGTAGGGGGTGGGGGGAACTGTGGGGTGTTGGGGGGCCATGAGGAGAGCCAGGCGGGGCTGTGAGAAAAGAGGGTGGGAAGTGGCTGCCGAGAGCCCTTCGCTCTCAGATTCCAGAACCCAGGGGCCCCCACAGACATGCCAAGTCAGTGGCTCCAGGAGAGGCACAGGCGGCAAATTCAGATTTGGGGGCATCGGCCTAGAGTTGTGGCCTAGAATCAAAGAAATGAGGTGAGTGTCCCAGGAAGAAGGAGGCCACCGGGAGGGGTGGGAGCAGGGCCGCCAGCAGGGGGGCTCCTGGCATGGCGGGGTCCGCAGGGGGCCCGGGACAGGGACTACTTGGAGCCTGGTGCATATCCAGGGTATGGCTTGGGGGGGCAGCTGCTTCTGCTCACGTTGGACAGGGCAGTGAGGGGAGAGCAGGGCCCTCCCCCCGAGATTAGCCCCAGGCCACACTGCGCAGCTAAGGCGCTCATCTCCTCGCGCCGGACATGCTCTCTGAAGCTGGGCGACGTGCAGGAAGCGCCGGGAGCTGAGGGCCGAGGCGAGAGCACCGACCGGGCACCCTGACTCGGGCATCACCCGGCCCCACGGTCCTCTTTGCTCCGAGAGCAGCGGGACGAACTCAGGGCGCTCAGGCCACAAAGCTGCCTGCGCTCGCTGCTTTTATTTTATTTTTGTCTTCTTAGGAGCATGAACCCTGAAGGCTGATCCTGTAGCTGCAGCTCTGACCCCAGACGTGGCAGCAAGGATAGACGCAGGCGGCCCGCGCTGCCCTTCCCGGTGAGAAGCCTGGCGCTGCTCTCTGTCGGTTGGAGGCAGCCCTCATCTGTGGGAGATCAGCGGGGGCCACGTCTGCGTCCACTTCTGCGGTGGAGGGAGGGAAAGGGGAAGCTCGGGGAGCGCGCTCATGTAGGAAGCAGGAACTGAGAAGGGTATGTGGGCAGGGCGGGTGCTCATCTGGAGGGCGGGGGGATGCCAACGTCACTCCTGAGGCACCCCCACAGCCCCAGCACCCCCTGCCCCCCAGCCCTGCCTTCTCTGTCTGGTGAAAGCCGGGTTGTGTTCCCGGGCAGGCCGAGCCCTCGCAGTGAATGGGCGGCAGGCAGATTGGCCTGAAGGGCAGAACAGAGGCCCGGGCGCAGCCCAGGCCCTCGGCTGGTGCGGGCCTGAGGTGTGGGCCAGGGCCCTGTCGGGAGAAGAAGGTGGAGACAGCAGTTCACGCCTGGCAGCTCTGCCTGCCACCCACTCCGGACTTCTCCAGCCCCTGAGTGCCCTGGCTGTAGCCCAGCGATTAGCAGGGCGTTCTGGGGTGATGATGGTGGGTGTCCAGCACCTCGCTCAGAGCAGCGGCCCTGGCAGTGTTCACTGAAGACAACCCTGGGAAGGGAGGAGAGGAGGGAGGGGCAGGCTGGGAGGGGGGCGGGGCAGGGCAGCCACTGGAGCTAAGGTGAAGGAGGGACAGAGCTGGCGAGTGCAGGCGGCTCCATGTCCAGTGCATGTGCAGACGAGGCCTGCGCCGGCCCCGGGTTTCCTAGCAACCAAAGCAAGGAGGGAAACAATCAGTTGCAACATCCAGTGTCCTAGACCACAGCACGGTGGCTCCGAGAACTCCCGGCCCCTCCCAGGGAGCGCAGTGCCGCATGGACACATTCCCACGACAAATATAGACTCTCGTCCCGAGCAGCTGCTCTCAGCGCCTCCTAGGCCGCCGATTGGCACCTGCCAGCAGCCCCCTGGGCCCCATGGAGAGAAGCCACTGCCTGCAGGTGTGCATGGTTCCGGTGTAAGGAAATGGGTTAATTCAGGCTCTTTTCCGCCATCCCTCGCTGGCCCTACAGCTGCTGCCCGCGGCGTGCCCGGCCCACTCACACCTTTGTGCCTTTGTCTTCCCCACCGCGCCGCAGTGAGCACGCGCTCCCCTGCTGAGTCTCTGCCTGACTGTCCAGGACTCCCAGAAGCCCAGTCCTCGAGCAGCCTGGCACCGTAGGCACCAGGAGATACTTGGCAGGACTGGGATTAAATCTCTAGCTGGACACATCCTGGCCAGTCGTCATAGCTGCACAAAAACAGGAAGTCCCGAAGTCTTTGGGGTTTCCTACCAAAGAACAAGGAACAGAATGGTTCTCCAGCGTTCACACGTCGGGGCCGGGAAGTACGCTCTCCACGGTTCACAGGCCCCCCCCAACCCGCCCCCATCCTGCCAGGCTGAGAGGGCAGTGGGGTAAGAAGACCTCAGGGCCGTCCCATCCGTGCAGCCGAGACGACAAAGTCATTCACGTGTGTGTTCCAGCGATTTCTTTCAAGCTCCAGACAGGACGGCGCGGAGTGCAGGAAGCCGGAGCCCAGAGCCGTGAAAGAAGCACGAGCTGCGGAGGAGCCACATGGGTCGGAAGGGATCTCGGCAGAGTCCAGGGGACAGAGAGAGGGAACAGGGTTGCCTGAGGGTGGGGTCGGAAGAGATGCTCGTGATGCAGGAGACCAGGAAGGAAAAGTCAGAGAGGAATGAAAAGTGACAAGACTCTGTCACAAAACCTGCGCGAAGCAAGTCTCGGGAGAGGTCCCAGCGTGCGCACCGAGGTCAAGTCAGACGACAGAAAAGGGACCCGCCGGACCAGAAGCCGGCCTCAAGGGTGCTCCGCAGCGGGCCGAGGCCACATGGTCTTGGTGGAGGGGACTCGGGCCTGGGATGGAGGGAGATACCTGGCAGGAGGAGAGAGGGACGCCTGGAGGCTCCCCCGAGCTGAGAAGGGACAGTGGGCACGGGGGTTGTGAAGTCACCGGTGCTGCACCCAGACAGCGGGCCAGGGGAGCGCATGGGCCAAGGAGGGAAATGTCTTCCCTTGAAGGGAAATGCCTGGGTGGTGGGAGAACGAGGCCTGCTTCCAACAGCTGACTGTGCGCGTGCCTGGGAGGGAGCGGGGTGGCAGTTAGATGGAAGGTGCTCGCGTGCCCACATGGGCTGTGACCAGAGAAGCAGCAGGCCGGGGGTGCGCCCTGCACCTCAACCTCCTGCTTTAAATTCCACTCTGGCCACAGCGCACTTTCTCGTGGGGGGCATGTCTGTAGCACGGTACAGGATCACAGCCTCTGGGCTCTGCCTCCGCGGCTTAGCGCAAAGGTGAAGAGCTTAGCGCAGAGGTGAAGAACATGCGGGGCAGGTTTTGCAGTGCCCTTGGGGTCCTGATCGTGTTTTATGAACACGACAGTCACCTTGAGAATGCAGCGTAAACTGGGCTAATTTTAGTGATTTAATCTTACACTTGACTGCATCAAAAAGGTATGTGAGGGCCTCCCCGGTGGTGCAGCAGGTTCAGCGCTACGCTGTGAAGCTGTCCGCAGCCCGTGCAACATGAGTTTGATCCCTGGCTGGCCAGAGAGAAACCCAAATGGCACAGCAGACCTCTCCTGCCTCACCCGCTGCTCCCCTCAGCAGTGTCTTCGGTCCTTCTGCCTGTTCTGCTCCCTGCTCTGTCTGGTGAATTCTCTCACCCTCCTGCGCCCCTGGCCTGTACCCCAATTCTTGTCTAAATAAATAAACCTTTAAAAAAAAAGGTATGTGAGACAGCAAATAACAAGAGCACAACTGGACCGTTAAAATAGACTAAAAAGGAAAAAGTCATAACTAACAGCGTCCACACCGTGATTCCAAACCAGGCATACTGATTTCTAAGGCAGTTCTCAGACTTCTCGGTCTCAAGACCCTTTTACATAATAAAAGTATGAAACAAACTAGGAATAGACAGAAACTTTCTCAGTCTCACAAGGGGCATTATGAAAACCCACAACTAAATCCTACTCAGTAACAAAGACTGGAAACTTTCCCTGTCAAGTGTCCTACTGTGGAATGTGGTGTACCGTGTGGGACGTCTGAGCCAGAGCAAGCAGGCAACTCAGAAATAAAGACATCCAGATTGGAAAGGAGGAAGTAAAATTATCTTTTATTAACAGATAGCATAATCCTGTCTACAGAGTATCCCACAGAACACTCAGAAAACTATTAGAACAAATGAGTGGATTCAACAAGATTGCAGGATTTAAGATCAATACACAGAAATTAGTTGTATTTCTGCATGTTAGCAAGGAACAATCCAGAATTTTTTTTTAATTTCCACTTA